AACCGGAAAAAATCTGCCACTTCCTTACAGAGCCCCTCCTCCAACACACACGAATGCGCACATGACCAATGAGGGCACGAGATAAGTTTGTGCACAGATGGAAGGCTGACAGGCAGGTAGGCCATCCAGTTATTTTAGCCGGGCCGGCTAAAATGATTGGTCGTGCTTTTTACAGTACTACGGCTTCCACAGATGACATTTTTTTCTGGATTTTTTGTCAAAGCACTTAAGATATGCATTGATGTTAAGAGCATTCCATGGAATATAACAAAAAGTGTATCTCGAGCCGGTTTCTCAAACCTACCTACCCCACCTTTAACCTATAAATAAATGCATTTCCAGACTTTTGATTGACTGACATCCAGGGCCGGCCCCAGACTTTTGGGGGTCCTAAGCAAGCTTAGGCTTGTGGGCCCCCCTCACTCTAGCGCGTTCTCACTACATACAACGCGGAACCAACTTTTGTCTTATGATGTTAGCATAAGCACACATATTTTATAAATAAGCATGTAAACACCGCGGACCTAACCTCCTCTAGGGGTTACCGGGGGCATGCTCCCCCGGGAAGAATTGTTTTTAAATATTGAAGTTAAAAGCATCAATCTGGTGCACTTTGAAAGCAAAATTAAGAGATCTATTGATACATCTCTCAACACCCATATGAAACAGAACTGTAAGCAGATTTTTCTTTATGGATATTTTAGAAATCACTTAAACTGTATTCTTGTTTTGTCATATAGTATTTCATAACTGTCTTTCATTTATTCTCTCTGGCTGTCCATCTCTGTTCACATATAAACTAGCTGTCAATATGAATATCATTCCGAAGAATTATAATTCATGCAAAAATCTGTCAGAAAAAGAGGTTGCACATTTACATTCAGGTGTTGTTATGGCAACGTCAGTGGCCAAACAGCCACATTTACCGCTGCAAATACGTTCAAACATGCTGTCGACACGTAAAGCAGTTGCATGCCACCATTTCAGCTGACTTTTTCTCAGAAATACATAACATCCATATATTTCAGTGCTAGGTTGATGCTTAGCTAAGCTAACTATGAAACACTTTAGCTGACAGGACTCAGGATCAACTGTGTACTGTAAGGTAGCTTCATGTCGAACAGTAAGTCAACATTTTCCAGAGAGCTTTCTTTTAAATCACCAGGTAACGCTAAAAAACATGTATGACAAAGTGTTTATGTAATATATCTGGCTAGCTATAGCTACTTGCTAACGGTTTAGCTTACCCCCGCGATTCAAAGTAACGTCAACGTAGCTGTAATTTATGCTTTGCTTACATGTTCGCATAACATTTACATACCTTGTTTACCTAGCTCAAGTGGTGGCTCTGGGATTGTTGTGTGAGCCATCACTTGAGAATTGTCTTTTTTCTTTTAAAGAAAAAATGTTCTTCTGTCCATCTTCAAAAACTCAGTTTAAACATTGTCACAGCTCACAGGATAGATACCTGTCAGCCAATAAGACAGATGTTTATTTCCATGCAACTCTCTGGTGATTGGTCTGGTGTCTTGCCTCTGTTGCATTCACTGAACACGGGAAATTACAATCCTGCCGTCCTCTCTAGTGTCATGATGAGGTTCAGGTAAAGCACGGTTAATGTATTATATTTTTGATTCAATAATATAATACATGACTTTGAGAGTAGGCAATCGAGGCATATTAACAAAATGAATTAAACATACTTATCACGGCGACTGTGTCTACTGAGATTATAATTATTATTATTTTTCTTCATTTTTTGCTAGGGGGCCCTTAGTGGCTGCGGGGCCCTAAGCGGCCGCTTATATCGCTTAATGGGTTGGGCTGGCTCTGCTGACATCTGACAGAGCTAATGCTAACAGCCATCTTTTGCTTTCTGAACAGCCATTGGATAAAAGCCAAGTTTCGACTGTTCGGACAACTGTCAATCAAATGCAGGGAATTGTCTCAATTTCTGGAACAAATTATAAAAATGCTTTGCAGGCCCGCAAAGGTGGGAAACCTGGTCTCCCTCCTGTTCGATGCTGTGATTCTGATCCAAGTCTCTGTGGTTATCCTGCAGGTCTTAAGAGGAACTACAACGATCTTCCAGAAAGGGTATCGTTTCGCTCCAAGCAGAACCTGGATTACTCCTTCCTGATCCTCTACAGTGCTAGACTTGGTCAATACTACCTCCAGATCGAGGACGACGTTTTCTCTGCCAAGAATTTCCTTTCCACCATCAAGAGGCGTGTGGCGGAGCAAGAGGCGAAGAAGACCACCTGGGCGATGCTGGAGTTCTCGGCCCTCGGTTACATCGGCAAGCTCTACAAATCAGCCCAGCTTCCTCTCCTGGCACGCTTTCTCTTCCTCTTCTACCAGGAAATGCCTTGCGACTGGTTAATGGGTCGCTTCCGAGATTTGATGACCCAGAAAGAGCAAATCCTTTTCAAACCCTCGCTGTTCCAACACATGGGAACCTTCTCCTCGTTCCAAGGCACATACAACAAGCTTAAGGACAAGGACTTTGAGGAGCAGTATACCAATCCTCCGGCTGAGGTTTATACTGATATGTCCTCCTACAAAAAACATTTTCCAAAACTGGCCTGGGACGCTGGGGAGGATTTCTTTTGGGGACGCTCCCCAGAAAAGGGTAATCACCTGACTGTGGTGTTCAGAGGCCCTACACTAGTGACAGGGATTATGGTAGAAACAGGGTCAGGGGGCAAAGACCTCCTAGAGTCAGCTCAGGTGGAGATAGGCCATGACGTGATCACCACAGAGAAAGACAGGAGTTGTAAAAAGTTCCAGACAGTTGGGACGTTCAAAAATGGGTTGTTTGAGATCCAAGAGATGGACAAAAAGTACACCTCTGCCTCTTCCTGTCTGAGGATACAGATCACCGCTGCACAGAAGGATTGGCTGATCATTACCAAAATCAGGATCTCAACAAAGCTTCGTACATCCACAAACCAAGCCTAGGAGGGACACTTGCCTTCCTGCCAGGGGAATAGTTTTGTATCTGCTGGATGCAGGCTAAACATGTGCCTTGTTGAACCGTTCCATTGACCAAACATCTATACAGAAACAGTTTGAAGCTACTGTCAATATAATGTTTGATTAAGGCAATATGTATAGACGATGTGTGCACATAAAACCATGCCTTTGCCTCTTCAAAAACATAAACTGGTATTTATAAAGGAAGAGGGCAGATTGTCTGTTAATTTAAGTTAGAGAATAATGTGATTTGTATTTACTGGTTCAGCAGCCTTATTAAATCCATTTATAAAGGAAGAGTGTTTAGTAAGAATGCGTTAACCTCCCACATAACATGCCACCAGGCATTTAGTGATCGAGATAGCAATGTTGTGATATGAAGACGTGGAAATAAAAATAAGGTGAGACACAGGATGTTATGTTCCAATACGTTTTTGTTATTTAAAGTATTTTCTATTGAAACATTCTGTAAACTATTAAAATATTAGGGTTATTATCTATTAACTAAATAATAGCTTTTGTCTGACCTATAATGACAACTGAGACAAACTGCTGTTGATAGATTAAAGGAGATTAGTGACTGTTGGTGCTTTTAAGAAGCTGCAGGCATGCGTAATGATCCTGGGTCAGGATTGCTGCTCAGTTGTTGGAGGACCTTGCCTATGTGTGTATAAAATGAAAACAATTAGATTGATTTGATTTTCTCAGTTCACACCTTAGGCTTCCAGGTCCAGCTTTAGAGGAACAGACACATATATAAATCATGCAAATCCTGTCAAAATTCAAGTTGGACAACTCTTGGGTTCTTTGCAACATTTAGGACATTTACGAGGGAGCTGGTTGGCAGGTCTGGAATACAGTATCTCCTGGAGTGTGCCTGCCTGTATTAGTCTGTTTCCAGACCAGCTTCAATCGAGTCTGGACTTTCTCTCCCTGCTCTGAAAACGCCAGAACGTTGTGGCTTATCACAGAGATTTAAAAAGTCCTGGACTCACACCAGGGTGGCTGTGGTTTTTATTGAACACTTTTACACAGTTCTAGAGATAAGGTTACTGGGATGCTGTGTACCTTTTGTTCTGAGGCTCTTAACTAAAGGTCCGACTCCTTACACACCAAACTGACACCAAAGAATACGTCCCGACGGAACGTCGCCTCACGTCTTCTGCGTCTTGGCCATGTGTCGCACTGGAACACACCGCAAAGACTTCAGCCAACGGCCAAGAAGCATGTACGAACTGCGCATGCGTGAGTGGCAATAACTCTCCTTACCAGCAGGCGGCGGTAGTGTGTATTCGTCATTCAAAAGAGGCAACAACCGGAAGACAGACTGCGTGATAACCGAGAGAAGAAGAACAGACTGCGTGATATAAACAAACAACAAATATCGTGTGCGTTCCATTTTCACTCTACAACGAGAAGCTCATGGGGCTTTCCCGAACCTGTGTCGAGAGCTGGAGTTAAATGAAATCCCAGATTTGCCTTCTTAATAGTTTGTTTGGCTCCCTCACTTCTGTTTCACTTCTCATGCACTGATTCACTAGCTGAACAGCCAATCAGAGTGATTTCTTTTGCCAACTGCCTTTGGCCGACTGCCCGCTGATTCAGCATGTTGAATCAGCCTGAAAAGACCAGGCGGTGCGGGACACACCAATCTGAGTGGGGCGTGTCGATGCTCATCGTCGGCCTGACGCCCACCGACGCCGATAATCAGCCTGG